TTTCTGGAGTATAACTACTTTTCAAGTAAGTACTGCACAATTAAACAGGAAATAACACTTTCAAACCAGGAACAATTTTTTTAAAAAAAACTGTGTTATAAAGTGTTATTATAAGACTACCTGCTTCCCCTAGGAAGTGAATGCTCTCAGACTTAAAGCAGAGTTTAATTCTAATGATGGTTCTGTTGTGCCAGCTTTCTCAAGGCAAAAAGCAATAGAAAGTCAGTAGATTGATTGGCAGGTAATTTTAAATTAACTACTGCTAGGTGCCTCAAGTGGCGTGAGTTAAATCGCTGAGCTGCTGAACTAGCTGACTGAGCTCCTGCTGTTAGCCCCAGCTTCTGCCAACCTAGTAGTTTGAAACATGCAAATGTGAGTAGATCAATAGGTACCGCTCCGGCAGGAAGGAAACAGCACTTCATGCAGTCATGCTGGCCACATGACCTAGCAGGTGTCTATGGACAACACCGGCTCTTCGGCTTAGAGATGGAGATGAGCGCCACTAACCAGAGCCGGACGCAACTAGATTTAATGTCAGGGGAAACCTTTACCTTTAGACAAGATTAAACAAAACAAGGGTTGTTCTCATGTGTTTATCTGTCACAATAATTCAAAGCTGTGATCCCTGGAACAGTGCTTGTCTACAGGTGACTGGCTTCCAGACCACAGCTAGTTACAAGGAAGGGAGGGAGGGAGGGAGGCAGGCAGGAAGAAGGCAGGCAGGCAGGCAGGCAGGCAGGCAGGCAGGCAGGAAGGCAGGCGGGAAGGAAGGCAGGCAGGCAGGAAGGAAGGAAGGAAGGAAGGCAGGAAGGCAGGAAGGAAGGAAGGAAGGAAGGAAGGAAGGTAGGAAGGCAGGCAGGAAGGAAGGCAAGCAGGCAGGAAGGAAGGCAGGCGGGAAGGAAGGGCAGGTGGGAAGGCAGGCAGGGGAAGGAAGGAAGGCAGGAAGGCAGGGGAAGGAAGGAAGGCAGGGAAGAGCAAGGAAGGAAGGAAGGAAGGAAGGAAGAAGGTAGGAAGGCAGGCAGGAAGGAAGGCAAGCAGGCAGGAAGGAAGGCAGGCGGGAAGGAAGGCAGGCAGGAAGGAAGGCAGGTGGGAAGGCAGGCGGGAAGGCAGATGGGAAGGAAGGAAGGCAGTTAGGAAGGCAGGCGGGAAGGAAGGAAGGAAGGAAGGCAGGAAGTAAGTAGGCAGGCAGGAAGGAAGGCAAGCAGGCAGGAAGGAAGGCAGGCGGGAAGGAAGGCAGGCAGGTGGGAAGGAAGGAAGGAAGGAAGGAAGGCAGGAAGAAGGTAGGAAGGCAGGCAGGAAGGAAGGCAAGCAGGCAGGAAGGAAGGCAGGCGGGAAGGAAGGAAGGCAGGAAGGAAGGCAGGTGGGAAGGAAGGCAGGCAGGAAGGAAGGTGGGAAGGCAGGCGGGAAGGCAGATGGGAAGGAAGGAAGGCAGGCAGGAAGGCAGGCGGGAAGGAAGGAAGGAAGGAAGGGGAAGAAAGGAAGGAAGGAAGGAAGGCAGGAAGAAAGTAGGCAGGCAGGAAGGAAGGCAAGCAGGCAGGAAGGAAGGCAGGCGGGAAGGAAGGAAGGCAGGTGGGAAGGCAGGCAGGCAGGAAGGAAGGAAAGGAAGGCAGCAGGAGGAGGAAGGGGGGAAGGAAGGCAGGAAGGAAGGGGAAGGCAGGAAGAAGGTAGGCAGGCAGGAAGGAAGGCAAGCAGGCAGGAAGGAAGGCAGGCGGAAGGAAGGAAGGCAGGAAGAAGGGGAAGGCAGGCAGGAAGGAAGGAAGCAGGAAGGAAGGCAGGCGGGAAGGAAGGAAGGCAGGCAGGCAGGCAGGAAGGCTTGGTTTTTGTTTTCTTTGGAAGATGCCTGTGCGTGGGTTTTTTTAATGTGTGGAGGTCAGTGCACAACTGATCAACACACAGACTTCACAGAGTGAGGTTCCACTGGTGATGTAGTTTGACACAATGACCGTGGCTTCTCAGTCTGTTGCAGCCTTCTTCCGCCTTCGCAGCCGTTGTAACATGTGCCATGTTATCCTCCGCCTGCTCCGCCGTTGAGGTCTTTGGGTCTTCGGACTGTGCTTGGTCTGGAACCTCGCCCGCGGCCACTCCTGGGAGTGCACGACTCCAGTTGTTGTGCCTACAGGTTCATCGGAACGCGCAAGCCCCCTCACCACGACAAGGTGACAGTCCATCGAGGGGGCAGAATGTTCGGTGGGAAGGTGGGAAGGGAAGGGAGGGAGGAAGGGAGGGAGGAAGGAAGGGGAAAAAGGAAGGAAGGAAGGAAGGAAGGAAGGAAGGAGGAAGGAAGGCGGAAGGAAGGAAGGAGAGAAAGAGGAGGTAAGGAAGGAAAGGAGGTGAGAAGGAAGGAAGAAGGGAATGAGAGAGAAGGAGGAAGGAGGGAGGAGGGGAAGGAGAGGAAGAGGAAGGAAGGAAGGAAGGAAGGAAGGAAGGAAGGAAGGAAGGAAGGAAGGAGAAGGCAGAAAGGAAGGAAGGAGAGAGAGCGAAGATAGGAAGGAAGGAAGGAAGGCAGGAAGGCACGCAGGCAAGAAGGGAGGCAATGGATATACTGGGGAAGATTCTAATGCTCAAATCAAATAGCACTGCTTTTAAGCATTGCCAAACAACACAAGCTAACCCTGGATGAAGAACACATGCCCTTCTAAATTACTGGACTGAAACTCCCAGCAGCCCTTCCCAAAACAACCAACAATAAAGAATAACGGGTGCTGAAGTTCAACAATGTCTAGAGGGTCACATAATTTGGACCCCTGGACAAGCCACTGCAAAGTGAAAAGCAAAGGCGTATGACAGCTAAGCGATGCAGACAGAAAGTGTGAACTCTTGTTACACCTTTGCAACAGATGAATATTCAGTCTACTTGAGAGAGACGAGTTTATCTTTGTCTCGGTGAGTCTCAAAAGGGCTACAGGATTTGGACCAGTATGGTTACTATGTGTTTTGTTGGTGGCTATTCCAAAATCAGATGTGTTAAAAGCATGTAAACAATCAGCATCAAACAAACAATGCTCGGTGCTAGCCAGAGCAGACCCACCAAAATGAGTGGGGCTTATTCAGTCACCACTCTCTGAAGTCTCATTGATTTCTATATATAGAACCAACATGGGATTTAGTCTCTTATAGGCATGCTGTTGTGATATAAGTGTTATAAGGTACAACAAAAAAGTTACAAAAGGAAACTTGGGGAGGAGACTCTGGGCAGCAGCTTTAATAGTTCAGTGGTTGCACTTTGGAGGCTCCGATTCCCTCCAAAGTGCATCTCGAGGCAGGAAGTGTTGTGTGGAGGAGATCTTACAAGAAAACGTAGCATCACGTCAACTTTTACCATGTCCTCCAAGTGATGCCATTCCCAGGGCCCTTCCACACAGCAGAATAAAATCCCACATATTCTGTTTTGAACTGGGATATATGGCAGTGTGGACTCAGATAACCCAATTGTAGATCATCTGCCTTGATATTCTGGGTTACACACTGCTTTCCCAAATAGCAGACAAACGTTGATCTTCGGAACGACTGGACCATGCGATTGGGTAATTATTTTAGTAATGAGATGCTGTGGATTTATTTTATTGTATCAAATGTTATTTATGCTCAATGTTTGAATTGTTCTTTATTACTGTAAGCATCGAACTGTGCCGTTTCTAAACCACCCTGAGTCGCCTTCGGGCTGAGAAAGGCGGTATATAAATATAGTAAATAAATAAATTTATGGATTCTCAGGCACATAAAGCATAATGGTTACACAGTATTTTTCTTCACAGCACTTCCTGCATATTGTTACATTCGACTTTTACTATTAGGAATAAATACAACTGTTGTTATTATTATTATTATTATTATTATTGGTTTGTGTAGGTTTTTTCGGGCTGTATGGCCATGGTCTAGAGGCATTCTCTCCTGACGTTTCACCTGCACTTTGGCAAGCATCCTCAGAGGTAGTGAGGTCTGTTGGAACTAGGCAAAGGGGTTTATATATAACATTATTATTATTACAGTAAAAGCCGAATGTAACAATATCCAGGAAGTGCTGTGAAGAAAAATACTGTGTCACCATTATGCTTTACGTGCCTGAGAATCCATAAATTTATTTATTTATTAACCATATTTATATACCGCCTTTCTCTGCCCAAAGAAAATTATTATTATTATTATTATTATTATTATTATTATCATTATTATTATTATTACAGGGCTGTGTGGAAGGGTCCTATGACTCTGGAGACCAGGATTTAAATCCCTGCTCAGCCATGGAAACTGATGAACTTGTCTCAGGGCCCTTCCACACAACCATATAACCCAGAATATCAAGGCAGAACATCCTAGAATGGGCCCTTCCACACAGCCCTGCATCTCAGAATATCGCGGTGGCGCAGTGGGTTAAACCTCTGTGCCGGCAGGACTGAAGACCGACAGGTCACAGGTTCAAATCCGGGGAGAGCGTTGGTGAGCTCCCTCTGTCAGCTCCAGCTCCTCATGCGGGGACATGAGAGAAGCCTCCCACAAGGATGATAAAAATATCAAAACATCCGGGTGTCCCCTGCGCAACATCCTTACAGACGGCCAATTCTCTCACACCAGAAGCGACTTGCAGTCTCTCAAGTTGCTCCTGACACGCCCAAAAAAGGCAAAACATCCCACATTATCCGAGTATGGACTCAGATAACCCAGTCCGAAGCAGATATTGTGGGATTTTCTGCCTTGATGTTCTGGGATGGCTGTGGGCCCAATATCTCCTTGGAACTGGGTTATCCGAGTCCACACTGCCATATATTCCAGTTCAAAGCAAGTAATGTCACACTCTCTCAGTTCCAAGTCACACTCTCTCAGCCCAAGAAAACCCAAGTTAGCCTCAGGTTGGAAACGACTTGAGGGCACACAATAACTGTGTATACAGCGTGGCTGTATCCCGGGCGCATCTCTGGGCATGAGCTAGAGCGCCCGCGCGTTCGAACGCTTCTGCCTGGCAGCCAGACACGCGTGTCTGCGCGTCTCGTGTGAATGCCTACCTTGATGATGCTGCTGCGCCTGGGGGCGGCGCGCGCGGCTTCCAGGAGGCCGGCCTCGTGGGCGTCGGGCAGGACCCCGCTCCGCCGCTCCCTCCTCCGCCCCGCCAGGGCAAGAGGATCCAGCAGCTCCGCGTCCTCCTCGCCCTTGGGCTCCATCGGGGTCAGAGAAACACCCCTTCCCACGAGACGGCGACACCGACACGCGTGTCCTCTCTCTCTTACGGCGCCGCGGGGGCGGGGTCCTCCATTGGAGTCATGATCCGAGAGTTCCAAACTCTCTCTCTCTTTCTCTCTTTGTCTCTCCCAACTTGGACAATGAGTTTCCCCGCGAGGGTCCGTCCACACACCTCCTTTGGCTTATTATCGCGCTTCCACACCGCTTCCTCCTCCTCCTCTTTCTCCGTCTCCGTCTCCTTCTCCTGGCGGCGCCCAAGAGGAAGCCGAAAGGAAAGGAGCGCAGCCAGTCTCTCCCGCGCGACCCTCCTTCTGTTGTTGGGCTTGTTTTGACAGCGGAAGCCTGACCGGCAGGCGGCGCAGCCAATCACGGAGCGTTTCGAGATAGCCCCGCCCCTCGCTGGGCGTGGCCACAACAAAAAAGGGTTGTGGGTTTTTCAGTCTCACTTTCCTTAACATATTCCTAGATTAGGTTGCTTTGATTTTTCCAAGCTGTATGGTCAAGTTCCAGAAGCATTCTCTCCTGGCGTTTCGCCCACAGACCTCAGAGTTTGTGAGGTCTGTTGGAAACTAGGCAAGGGAGGTTTAGATATCTGTGGAATAATGTGGGAGAAAGAACTTTGTCTGTTTGAGGCAAGTGTGAATGTTGCATTGGCCACCTTGATTAGCATTGAATGGCCTTGCAGCTTTGAAGCCTGGCTGCTTCCTGCCTTGGGGAATCCTTTGTTGGGATGTCTTAACTGGCCCTGATTGATTCTTGTCAGGAATTCCCCTGCTTTTTGAGCACTGACTCTCCTATATAGAATCATAGAATCAAGAGTTGGAAGAGACCTCATGGGCCATCCAGTCCAACCCCATTCTGCCAAGAAGCAGGAATATTGCATTCAAATCACCCCTGACAGATGGCCATCCAGCCTCTGTTTCAAAGCTTCCGAAGAAGGAGCCTCCACCACACTCCGGGGCAGAGAGTTCCACTGCTGAACGGCTCTCACAGTCAGGAAGTTCTTCCTCATGTTCAGATGGAATCTCCTCTCTTGTAGTTTGAAGCCATTGTTCCACGTCCTAGTCTCCAAGGAAGCAGAAAACAAGCTTGCTCCCTCCTCCTTATTTACTGTTCTGCTTTCAGAAGGTTTTTTTTTAGTACTGGTAACTAGTGGCGCAGTGGGTTAAACCACTGAGCTGCTAAGCTTGTTGACCAAAAGGTCACAGGTTCGAATCTGGGGAACTGAGCTTCTGGTGTCAGCCCCAGCTTCTGCCAACCTAGCAGTTCGAAAACATGCAAATGTGAGTAGATCAATAGGTACCGCTCTGGCGGGAAGATAACGACACTCTATGCAGTCATGCCATCCACATGACCTTGGAGGTGTCTACGGACAATGCCAGCTCTTAGAAATGGAGATGAACACCACACTCCAGAGTCGGACACGACTGGACTTAATGTTAGGGGAAAATCTTTACCTTTGCCTTTACCTAGCCAGATTTTGTTTATTTTAATGGTTTCCTCCTTTCTGTTGAAATTGTCCACCTGCTTGTGGATTTCAATGGCTTCTCTGTGCAGTCTGACATGATGGTTGTCGGAGTGGTCCAACATTTCTGTGTTCTCCGATAATACGTTGTATTCAGATTGTTCCTGGTTTGAAAGTGTTATTTCCTGCTTAATTGTGTGGTTCTTAATGTATTGTTGAACGCTTTCATAGCCGGAATCACTAGGCTGCTGTGAGGTTTCGGGCTATATGGCAATGTTGCAGAAACATTCTCTCCTGACGTTTTGTCCACATCTGTGGCAGGCATCCTCAGAGGTTTTGAGGTCTGTTGGAAACTAGGCAAGTGGGGTTTATATATCTGTGGAAGGTCCAGGGAGGGAGAAAGAACTCTTGTCTGATGGAGGCAAGTGTGAATGTTGCAATTGCCAAGCTTGATTGGCACTGAATAGCCTTGTAGCTCTAATGCCTGACTTCAAGGCCATTCAATGCTAATCAAGCATTTCTGTGTTCTCAGATAATATGCTGTGTCCAGGTTGGTTCATCAGGTGCTCTGCTATGGCTGATTTCTCTGGTTGAAGTTGTTTGCAGTGCCTTTCATGTTCCTTGATTAGTGTTTGGGCAATGCTGCGTTTGGTGGTCCCTATGTAGACTTGTCCACAGCTGCATGGTATACGGTAGACTCCTGCAGAAGTGAGAGGATCCCTCTTGTCCTTTGCTGAACGTAGCATTTGTTGGATTTTCTTGGTGGGTTTGTAGATAGTTTGTATGTTGTGTTTACTCCTCAGCTTCCCTATGCGGTCAGTGGTTCCCTTGATGTATGGAAAGAACACTTTTCCTCTGGGTGGATCTTCATCTTGACTCTCGTGGCTTGTTCTTGGTCTTGCAGCTCTTCTGATGTCTGAGGTGGAGTCTCCATTGGCCTGTAGAGCTCAGTTGAGGTGGTTCAGTTCATCTTGGAGGAGGAGGGGTTCGCAGATTGTTATTGCTCTATTTATTAACTAATTTGTATTCTGTTATTTCCTCCAGGATAGCGAAGGAAGCCTTTTGAGCCAAATAAATGTGTATGTTTGTGTTTAAATCCATAATAATAATAATAATAATAATAATAAGAAGAAGAAGAAGAAGAAGAAGAAGAAGAATTTATTTGTAACCCATCCAATCTCCCCAAGTAGACGCTGGACGATTTTCAACAAATAACAAGTGGCATTTAATGCCAAGACAAACAAACAACAAAACAAATCAAAAACAGTGGATCTATAAAAACAGTAAATCCATACTAATGACTGAATTCAATTACTTTGGGAAAGAGGGATCTGGAGTTGGAAGGGCACCCATACTGAAGTAAAAGGCCCCTTCTACACTGCCATATAATCTAAGGCCCTTCCACACAGCCATATAAACCAGAATATCAAGGCGGATATGATATATTTTAGGGGGCTCCTCCAGGGAGGAGAGCCCAAGGACCGCACCAAAGAGAGTCCTGGATACCTTGGTGAGATTTTTCCGGAAGCCAATCCAAGAGCGCCAAAAATAATTAAAATCAAATAAGCTCACCAGGCGAAAGGAGTCCAGCGACCGAGGTGTTTATTTGCGATTCAGCTGAATGGATGCAATACAGGAATCATTCCACTGCAGAGCATGCCGCACAAGAGTTTCCAGGCATTTTTATACAGTGTAGAACAAAAGAAAGCAGTTTGAAAATCCCGCCCGCCCCCCTGTCAGCCGGCTTCACGCTGATTGGCTGGGGCTGGAACAGCTGGGAGGAGGTAATCCCGCCCTCCCCCGTCAGGAGCCAATGGGAGCGTTTCTCCGCCTTGGGAGGGCCAATGGGCGCCCTCCGCTCGCTTCCTAGGTCCTGGCCAATCAGGAGCGAGGAGGCGGGACAGCCGCGGACAAAGGGGGAAAGATGATGGGATTTGGGATTACCTGCCCGCTGGAATGCGGGCCATTGTCCAAGGCGGGAAGAGGGTGATATTTGTCAAACAAAGGCTTTCCTGTTCTTAACGAGTCTGGCGGGTGATTTGAATAGCTGGGTCGATACCGGACCGCCCGGAGGATCAACAGTATCTGGTTGATGTAATCAGTCCTTTTCTTTCCGGGGCTCTGCTGACCCAACCCTCCTCCGTTGGCCTTGCTCCGATGACGGAATCGGGGGGCCAGCAGCATTGTCCATGCAAAATGAGTCAATCAATGGGTGATTTGGGGGAAAGAGGCTTGGGCTCTTTCCCCCAGGCAGTTCCTGGTCAGGCTGGCTTTATGGGGTAAGGGGTCAAAGGGGTGAAGATGCAGGGGAGTTCATTGAGGGATACATATTTCATATTTATAAAATACAGGCATCACCAATATACAGGCATTTCATGTATCACAACCCACCACCCATCCCAACCCCAATCCATTAGAATTAAGAAAATATTTTATTTATTTCATGAAGAGAAAAAAAGGAAAAAAACTAAAAATCCCAAGGTCCGGACGGAGGGGTTTGGATGCAGGGGCCAGCCTATGGCTTAGGCTGGCCATCAGAAGATCAGTTCATTTGTAAAACAGGAGCTGGAGCTGAAGGGGGAGCTACGTTCCACGGTCCCGTCCTTAGTGGAACTAGCGCTCCCAACCGGGGATCGGGCCTCCCCTGCCCGGTCCCCACTCCCAAGGCTTCCCCTTGGGCCACGGCGGTGGATCGCAGGCGGCAGGAACCATGCTGGAGCGAGCGGCAGCAGTGGAAAGGACCAAGCGGCAAAAGCCGGCGAATTTGACAATCAGCTGGTGACTCGGCCGAATTTAATGATTAAGCAAAAACAATTATTTCACGAGTGCAGGAGTCCAAAATAAGAAAACCAAGATAGCAGTTAGTCTTAGAAGTTAATGTAGAAAAATATAAAATTTGAACGGGCCCGATCCGTCATGTTGTTGTTTTGGCGGATAAGGGGGGCCAATAAGTAAACCTCCGTATCCGCGATTAGGACTAACGCAAATTCGGAGGCCTGGGGAGGCCAGGAAGGCGTCCCTAGTGAGCTCACGGTTCCCCGGGGCCCAGGAAAAAGCTTATGGTGGGTTAGAAAAGTTGCAGTCAGTAAAGGGACACAAAGTATCAAGCGGAAAGGATTTAAAGTTTCAAAACTTAAGTGTTTTATTAAGGGATTTGTTACAAAGAGAGGGAGAGGGGAAAGTGAAAGAAAGGCTTCATGCAGTCCTTCGCTTTGAGCTGCTGGCTGGGGCACGTTTCATCAGTCGGACCCAACTTTGCCCTACGGAACTGCGGAACTCCCTGCTGCGGTTCAAACCAACTTGAAGGCGGGAGATTCTGCTACCTGGGGGGTCATCATTTCCCCACTCGGGGACTGAAAGAGGCGGAGCCTCTGCATAGTCCCCGCCCAAGCATTGTACCCAGCCAGGGGCAGCAGGGCCATCTGGCGAGATGGATCAGAACGCTTCCCCCTTTTGCAAATTTGGAACAGAGCGGGAACATGAGACCAGCAGCAGCTCAAAACCAAGAGAAAGACTATGAGACCCAAGAAAACTAGAAAGCCTTTTCTGAGCCAATCTAGAGAAGGAAGCCAGTCTGTCAAAAAACTGAGGTCAAAGCCAACGGTCTCTTTAATGCCAGCTGCCAAATCATTCATTCCCTCTATGGCCTTCCGGACTACAGGGGTCTGGTCAGTCAGATTAAAACAGCACATGTGGCGCACACTCTCACAGCCATAATGATTCTTTAACAACAAAAAATCTATGGCAGCACGATTATCCAGCACGGCTTCTCTTAGCTCATGCATTTCAGTGGCTATGGAAGACAGGGCTCGTGAGGTGTAGTTTATATTCTTGACCAGAGCGCAGGCCAGATGTTTAATGGCCCTGTAGTT